CCCCCGTTCCCGGGGGGGGGCGGCCCCCGCCGAGTGGGGGGGCGCGGACCCGAACCTAGCCAGATCCGAGCCCGAGGCGGGCCCGCCCCTTCCTGCCCCGGCCTGGTCCAGCCCTGCCCGGCCCTGCAATCCCGCCTGCGGCCGCAAGGCGCCGTCCGAGCACTGCCCATCGCGCTTCGGGCCGGGCTCTGTCCCACTCCCCCAGCCCGCCCCTCACTCCCACCTAGGGGCTCGCAGCGGAGGCGCTGCGGCCCCTCTGTGCCCACACCGGACCGCACTCCGCGCCCTCCCACGGGAGCGGGACAGTCCTTATTCTCTGTCCCCGGGAGCTCCTGGCAGGCCGACGGCCCGCGCTCTCCCTTTCTGCCTTGGGGGACCGAGCGTTCGTTTCCTCGTCCACACGCGGATCCTCCCGGGTCGGGAGCTCAGTAAGTGTGGGTGCAAGTGGAGGCTGGCAGGAAGCAGCCAAAGCCTGCGCCGCTGTTCCAGGGTCGAGGCCTCCTCCCTGAGGCCGCGCATTTGCTCCTCTGGGGCCCGGATGTCTTCTTGGTTCTGGAAAGCCCATTACGAAGAGCTGTTACCCCTCCAGGGCTTCCCGGTTCAGCCTTGTCCTCCCGCGCCCCATGCGGGGTTGGGAGTCTCCTGGTACCTGTGAAGGCAGGAGCCCTGCGCCTAGGGAAGAAGGGAATGATGGCGGATTGCAAGACAGCCCGGTTGTCCTGCACTGACAGGGAGTGGGCAGAGAAAGAAAGTCCGTCCATGCCCCGGCCCGCTGGGACCCGGCTGGCCGGGCTTGTGCAGAGCGATTCGGCCAGCTGGGAACACCCCCACCAGGCGCTGGGGTGGGCAGCCGGTTTAAGGCCCTTTAGGTGGCCCCAGCTGAAGCTTCCCAGAAGCAACTCCAGGAAAGAAGTGTATTCTTGAGTGAAATCCAGAAATCTTGCCAACAGAAAAGGAGATTTCCAGTTGGTCTTGTAAAACCGAAGGACCCGAATTCCCACCTGGTGACAAGAAGCTTATGGATGCTTGCCACTGCTGGTGGCATTCATCAGGGTCCCCAGCCACTGCTTCAAGGGCTTGGAAATGTCTACCCGGCTCTAGGCCCCCCACTTCCTGACCTGACTGTACAGCGGTCCTGGAGCCTCACAGCCCTTCTCTGGCAGAAGGCCTGTAGGAGCTGGGGAGGTCATCTAGTGTGACCAGGCAGCGCTGCTGGGACAAGCTGGCTCCCCTGTCGCCCTAGGCAACCTCAACAACACAGCAGACTGATGGCTTGAAACAACAGAAATTCATTTCTTCCAGTTCTGGAGTTCAAGTCTCCGCCAGGGCCAGCCACTTCCCCTCCGGAGGGTCTAAGTCAGCTGCCTTTCCTGTCTCTCCAACCTCTGGCGCCCCCAAGGGCTTCTTGGTTCATGGAGGCATCACTCCAGTCTTCACTGGCTCTCTTCCCTGTGTCTCTGTCCAAATGCCCCCCACCTTTCTTTTTCTTTCTTTCTTTCTTTTTGCTTTTTAAACATTTGCCAGAGAACATGTACGCTCATTGTACAGAGACAGAGAAAGTGAGAACGCACACCCCCTCCAGGCGTGTCACGCATCAGTCCTCTCTCCTCCATCCCTCCCTCCTTGGTATCTTGAACACAATCCTGTAGGTGCCCTGCTTGTGTTTCAAGCCACCAGGACCTGGAACCTGGTAGGCCATGTGGGGGTCTAGCCACCTCAACCACCATGCCACTGGCCTGCCCTCTCCCTCTCCTTTCTCTTTTTATTTTTACCTGCGTTTTTTCTTTTCTTTTTTTTTTTTTTTTTTTTGCTATAGGTGTGTGCACTTGCTGGAGAGACAGAGAGTCAGAAAGTGAGAAATCACCCCCCAGGAGGGATGGCCATGCTGCAATCCCTTCTCCATTCTCCTCTTGGGATTTTGGGCATGCATGCATGTGTGCCTGGTGTGAGTTTTAAGCTGCCAGATCCGGGACTCGAATGGTGATTAGCTACGCGTGTGTCCAGAGACAGAACCATTATGTCATCTGCTGGTCCCTGCCCTCTCCTTTCTTTCTTTCTTTTTTCTTTTTTTGAAGAGGTTTTTGCTATAGGGCGTGTGCGCTTGCCAGACAGACAGAGAAAGACAGATAGAAACCGAGAAATCATCCCCCAGGGGGGATGGTCACGCCGCAATCCCTTCTCTTCCATTCTCCTCTCGGGATCTTGGGCATGCACGCACACGCACCCGGCGTGAGTTTAAGCCACCGAGCCTGGGACTCGAACCATGGTCGACTACGTGGGAGTCCAGCAACATAGCCATTATGCTAACTGCTGGTCCCAGCTCTCTCCTTTCTAACAAACACCAGTCATTGGATTTAGGACCCACCAATAATCCAGTGTGACCTCATCTTAACCTGATTCCATCTGCAAAGACCCTGTTTCCAATAAGGTGACAATTCAGGCCAGGACTCGAGCATGTATCTTTGGAGGATGCAATTAAACCACTGTACTGGGTGATGCCGGGCATGGCCCTCTGGTCTCTGGACCTCAGTTTCCACACCAGTAACCTGAGGCCCTTCCAGGAGCTTCTCGGGATCTCTGGTGGGCTCAGTCAAAGCGGGTAAGGGGAAAAGAGCCTGCTCCAGGCACCGGGCCTTGTGTAGATGCCTGCCGTCCTGAGCTCAGGGAACCCCCTGAAGAAGGTGATACGTTATTACATCACTTTACAAACAAGGGGACAGGCTCAGAGAGGCTAGGGTGCCTGCCTAACGTTGCACAGCTAAGTCAGACTCCACCCTAGGTCAATACAACCTTCTCATCCATCTGGCCTCTGGGGCTGCAGTGTCCCTGCAGCTCCTCTGGTTCTGGGCCCCAAAGTCTGGGCATCCAGGAGAGGGGCTGACCCCTGCCCTCTCACAGCCTTGGGCGCCACCCGGTGGAGCCAGGCCTGCTGCCTGCCCGTCGCCTGGGCTCCTGCCTTTAGCAAGCTCTGTGCCCCTTGACCTCCCGCCTGTCAGCAAGGGGAAACTGGTTTCCTCCATCTGCCTCCCATTAGTGCTGTCACTCAGAGCCCGAGGTCAGCTGTGACCCCTCTCCCTTCCTTGCCCTGGCTTCTCAGCCCCCTCCTGCAGCCCAGCTACGGGTCTCTCAGCGGGGCAGGGGTCCTGGGCACAACCACCTGAGCTCAGCCCCTGGCAGGGTCTATGCCCACTTTCCACTTCCCAGGGAGCTCAGGAGTGACTCTGACTCTCCAATACTCAGAGGGGGGCAACCTTAATATATAAAGAACTGTTAAAAATCAACAAGAACACAAAAACAACAGAAACATGGGCGAGGGAGGTGTGTGGGTGAGTCACAGGGAGGGAAGACAGGGAATGCGTGTTCAGCCTCACCTGGTGACCAAGGACGACAGCAACACACAGGACTTACTGGGGGAGCAACTCTCAAGGCAGAGTGTAGACTGTGGGTGCTGCCCGATCTCTCACGGGAAGAAGAGTGTGTGCGTCTATGTGTCCACACCCACATGCCCTCATGTGCTCACGGCAGGGATCGTTTCTGAAGGCCCCATGCCAAGGCATCACCGGAGGCTGACCAGGTGCTGGGCCTGGAGAACCTACACCATTTCTATTTCCTACCTCTCTGAGCGGGTCTTACCTGAGACAAGGCAGACTCAGGACCTGGCACCTCCCCTGCGCGTGGGCTGTGAACGCCAGGGCAGGCTCGTCTGTCTGCAGAGTCTCCCTCTGCCAACTCCTCCCCGCAGTGTACTGCCTGGCGGGGGGCCCTCCCCGTGTGTCAGGCCTGCCTGGCTGAACGCTGGACGGCGGCCTTTGCTCGAGTGCACCCTGCATCCCACGTGCTCCAGCAGATGTTCACACACACCATCACACTGACTCACATGACACCCAGGAAACAAGGACCAGGGTTCCTGTCACAGTGCATGAGACCGAGGTAGCCAGCCATGTCTAGCCGGCTGGCAGGAGCCCACCGCAGGAGGCTGACCGCTGCCCGGCCCCTGCACTTGCATCTCTCTCTCACACACGCACATGCACACGCACACGTGCATACATGCACTCACACGCATGCACACGCTCCTCTGCCCGCCGCCCGCCTTCCTCTCCTCCTCCCACGCCCTGACCGCCAATGCCTATGACCAGAAGGCCCAGCCTACTTGACCCTGCTTGACCACTGTCCTCATGCGGAAGGGGCAGGGTCCTTTTGGGAGCCCCATTGGCTCATGGGAGAAACTGAGGTTCTAGGAGCTAGAGCTTGTGATGGGACCTTGGTCGGGCCAGCAAAGGACATTCCTGTCCCCTCCCTTATTCTGCTTGCTCTCTGAAGAAGCACCATGGTGCCCTGTGGGACCCCAACCTCGCGGGAAAATTTCAGGCCCTCTGCCCACAGTGGTGCCCTGCTTCTCCCTCGACTGCCCACCTGCTGTCCAGAGCCCACTGTTCCAGGTGGCCTCCAGCACCCAGCCCCCTCCCCACACACTGGGGGGGGTTCTGAATGCTGGTAGCGTGCGGCCTGTGAGGCCCCGTTACGGGCTGGACCTGGCTGTGTGAAAGCCCCCAGAGGGCACCAGAGCCTGGGCAGGGTCCTGCGGGGCCCTGTTCTCTCTGCCATCCCCGTGTGCCCCCACCAGTGGCCCTGCCTGGCCACTGGCCTCTCTCAGGAGAGGAGGGTCTTCAGAGCCCCCAAAACCCAGGAGAGCAGCGTGCAAACCTGCTGGGAGCCCCTCAGGCCCCCCCGCCCTGAGACAAAGGACCCCCTCCCAGCCTCACTGCCAGGAAAGGGGTGGGCCTCATTCCCCTGGGTTCCTTCTGCTCCGGAAGTCAGGGGTCCTGCTCCCACCCATCTCAGGGAGACCCCCTGCTGCATCTTGGCCAGCCTGCCCCCCCACCTCCTGGCAGGCAGGTTGTGTGATCTTGGCCCAGGCCTTCCCTTCTCTGAGCCTTGGTCAGCTAAACGGGGTGAGGGCAGGGCCAGCAGGGGGCATGGAGGTTAAGGGGGCTGGATCCCATATGACTGAGCACACGTTCGAGTCCCAGATACGGGGGCTTGAGAAAAACGCCAGGCGTGTGTGTGTGTGCATGCCCAACATTCTGACAGGAGAGTGGAGGGAAAGGGATTCGACGTGGCCACCCCCTGGGGGGTGCTTTCCCACTTTCTCTCTCTCTGCCTCTCTGGCAAACACATGCACCCTATAGCAAACTAAAAAGCCACCCAGGAGGCCTGAGCCTGCCACCCTTTTGGCTGGTAAGTGGGCCCAGAATTCTTGAGTCCAGAGAGGCCCTCCGTCTCAGCCCCCTGGCACCCATTCAGGCAGGCCAGCCCCAGGGACAGGGCTCAGGGAGGGGACTGCTGGGGACCCTGACCCCCAGTCAGCCTCTGCCAGGGGCCAGTTCGGGAGGGCTCGGCCCCTTAGGGGAGAAGGGAGGGCAGAGGCGGGGGGCTGGGTCCTTTGTGCTCCCCGGGAAGCCCCCCCTCCCACACACTGGCCCTGCTTGGCAAAGACGGCAGGAAGAGTCCGGTCGGCTATCCGTCAGGGAGACAGTGGGGCAGACCAGGGC